CACCGCCACCGGCGCCCGAGGAGGGAGGCGAAACCAAGGCAGAGGAACGAGCCGCGCGTTTGACCGCCGACAAACCCTGCCGGCCCTTCCCTCTCCCCACTCGCGGGAGGGACGAAGAGACGTTTCGCCACCCTAACCCTCCTGCGGCCACAGCGCGACAGGGCCGGGAGAGGGGACGAGGGCGAAGGGGGCAGCGAGGAGGGAGGACGTGGTTTGAAGGGGCACCAGAGCAGTGGAGATGAGAAAAAGCTGAGGGCAAGGCTTGCTGCCCTGCGCCGGTCACAGCACCGCCGCGCGCACGTGCGGGAGGGGAATGACCAGGTTTCGTACGCAAACGGCCACACTGGATCAGACCCAAAAGTCCGGCTAACCCTGCCTCCTGTTGCTGAGCACGGTCCGCCGCCGCCGCCGAGGGATGAGCGTAAGCACCAGGCAAGCGTGTAGCGAGGCTGCCCTGGAGCACTTCTCTAATTTCCAGTGATTTGTGGCTACAGCATGTCCCAAGCCTGTGGCAGTGTCGCTGTAGTTAATCAAACGGCCACACTGGATCAGACCCAAAAGTCCGGCTAACCCTGCCTCCTGTTGCTGAGCACGGTCCGCCGCCGCCGCCGAGGGATGAGCGTAAGCACCAGGCAAGCGTGTAGCGAGGCTGCCCTGGAGCACTTCTCTAATTTCCAGTGATTTGTGGCTACAGCATGTCCCAAGCCTGTGGCAGTGTCGCTGTAGTTAATGGCCCTCGATTGATTTTTCTTCTTCCAGGAATGCACCCAGCTGCTTTCTGAACCCCTAGAAACGAGCCCCCACAGCCTTGGGATGGGGAGGCAGCGCTGTCTAGGAGCGCTTAAACAACCCCCGCGTGTGTGGAAGGGCCGCGAGTTAAGGGCTAAAGTCATGACACCGCTACTCTGGTACATACGCAGCAGTGGCAAAGTGAGATGACTGCTTTGTACTCAAGCCAAGAGGGCAAGGAGATTCAGATATTTCCCCTATAGGGGACTCAAAGCAGTTAGGACCATTGAGGGGGAGCAACAAGGAGAAGCTAGGGCATTCATCCATGTGCCCAAGCTACTGCAAAGAAAGATTTGGGCCAACACAGGTATTGCTTTGAAGGAGGCCGTGCTGTTGATAGCCTAGCAGACAGCGAGTCGGGCCACTGACTGAAGGACACGGACAGCACAAGGGACGGAAACACACGCTCAGGACGTCCCCGATCACACTCCTGGCGTCCCAGGTGGCAGCGCAACAGGCACTGCCACAGCGACACTCCTGCTTGCATTCGGGCTCTCGTGCCGCAGCGCGAGCACTGCTATGAGACCTGGTCCGTGTGTCACTGCCAATGACAGAAACACACCCTCTTGCAAATCAGAGCGCTGCATGGATCCGTTTTACAAGGGTCTCCCACATATGTTTCATCTACATTTAATAAGAGCTATTCTACGTTAATTAAATGCCAGTGGAGTAAGGAAAACATATTTGTCAAAGATTAACTATTATGTAATGCGAGAAGCATCTGCCACCCAACTGCTAGAGCTCACTAAATATTTCCTTATCTCAGAGTATTTACTTAGGAGGCAATAACTATCCAGTTAAATCTAAATTTAATGCTTAGTTAAATATAGTTCATGGAAAGTGGCACCAATATGTTTTATACAAAGAATGACAGAGGGGGTTTCAGGAAGAGAGCAGAAACCTTCGCCTGGACTCTGCTAACATCCTGACCTGAGGTGGGACCGCACTTGGCACGCCTCCCAGCAGAGTAGGAGTCTTTGCAGCACACTGAGGCCCTTCTCTACGGAGATGAGAGTACGAGGCAAGTCCTTAGTGTCTTAGTCATTTATATGGTCATTAGAACTACCACAGCATAACTATTTAATAATAATAATAACTTTAAACAGCGAGATGAGGAAGAAATTTCCTTGAGGGTCTTGTAGTCCTTGGGGGAAAAAAAGGCTCCTAAAATTGATAGATCTTATTTGCTTTTAGAAGCATACAGAAATGAAAAGAAGGGGTTGTCTGGGTGGAAATGGACAAATAAGCAAAAATCACAAATCCTCAGGAGGAGAGAGCCTCATGAGTAAAATATTTTGTTGTGTTCCCAGAAGAAATAACTCCCTGGACCCATCTCCCCCTGCTGGAAGCAGATAAAGAAACAGTAGGTTTGTATTTTAACTTTTTTACATTCCAAAATCTTGAGGGAAAATTCAGGTAAACAATAAGAACAAGGGCATTGCATACCCATACTGACATCTTTTAATACCATTTACCAATACTCCTGGTAGGCGCAGGACTGGCAGGATCAGCCTGACTGATCAAATTTTGTCAATATGCAGTAAAGGAGTGGATGGGGCACTGTCAGCCCAGTTCCTCAGGTACCACAATACCCCCCTCCAATGCTAAAACACACCTAGCCCAGAAGGGATATGGCCTGGAGCAACACCCTTTGATGAGGGCAGGCTGTACAGCATCACCAAAGACACGACAAAAAAACTTGGATGACCCATTTAGGAAGGTGTCTGTGTTTCCCTGCTGCAGATGTGGAATGGCTTTTTGTGCAAGCTGGAAGGAAAACAACAGCACTGGCAGACACATCTTAGCTAGCCTTGCTCTCCCTGACTTTGAGGGAAACGTGCCAAAAACATCACAGCCTGGGTGGTCTGAACTGGCCAAAGCACAGACCCTTGCTGCTGGCCCCAGGTAAGTAGCCAGCACTGTGATGCTGTGGGACATGCAGCGCTGTGGTGCTATGGGACTGTTACCTAAATCAGGGTAATGGTGAAACTGTCACTGGAGTCAGGGCTACCTGTGCAGCGGCTCAGTTTTTGAGCTACTTGGGGACTGACATCATGAACACCTGAAGTGCCATCTGCTTCTGATGGAGAGTCAACAGGAGCTAAAAAGCACAGGCTCTGGCCACAAATAGGCACGGGCCTTTTTGCATTGGAGATGTCTACAGGCAAAGTGCAATCCACAAAAAATAAAGCAATGTCAACCACAACAGTAGATGGTATAATGTGGATGGCTGCCCTCCAGGAGCTGGAGTGCAGCTCATTAGCTCACTTCAAACAGCCACAGAATGGCAACTTGGTGTCACTTGACTTTCAGTCACTACCAACCTGGTCCCACCAAAATTGGTGACCTGTTCCCAAATCAGGTAAAAGATATGTCTGATAAATATGAAAGAAGTTCTCACACAAATCTCCAGACCCTTTCATGGTCCAAGTGACTGTTTTAAGTAAGGTGATGGTATGACTGCTTCACTAGGAGACTCCAAGCATTGAGGGACTTTATTAAAAGGGCACCTGCAAAGGCAAGTGAAAGCATATTATGTTTTGTGAGCTATATAACATGCTTTAGCAAAGACACACTGCTACACTCAGCAGCAGAGCCTGCTCAATGCATCTCAGCCACGCAGATACAGTGCAATTCTGTTGCACTGACAGAGGAGTTATGGAGAGGAACAAAGAAAAGTAAAATCCCTACATTAGGAGGAAGATTAAGGGACCGTGGCAGGGGAATGGTGACCATTTTCTCTGTTCTTTCTGGTACCTGCAGATCCCACCTATACACATGCAGCCACTGACTTTTACCCTGCTATGCAAGAGCACTAGCCCATTCCTTTTTATTAAGCAGACACTTTTCACTCTGCTTTGCTTCCTGGGATGCAGAGAGCCATAGCAGTAGAAGAGAAGGAGCAGAAGCAGGGCCAGAAGAGAGGTGGGCAAAAGCTCTCAGCTTCTTTTGAGGCTGAGGCAGCTGCTGCCATGAGGGGCCACCTCCAGGTATAACCTAAGTTCTCCTTTAAATGCAGTAAAGGCCTCTACAGGCAAATCGAGGAGGAGATGAGATTTGAACGGTAAATCCCTGTCTTCTCAGACACAGAAAGACAGTTCCGCTATGCCATGTCCATTCCTTCAGTTAGACCTGCCTATTACAGTGGCCTCCATCTTTACCAGGCCCAACAGTCTGCTGGAAAGAGGGAA